TACTCCTCTTCTTTGGTTTTGTCATGCATTGCAACCAAATTTATTGCTCGGTCACTTGTACGACTTGCGGCGATCGTCCATCTGTTCTAACATGTAGATAGCTGAGTTGGAACTGAATGAAGGTAAAAAACTGTTTTGTACTCTCTCTCCTGCCAGCGGTTCGCTGGTCCCATCTCTTCTTCTCACATCATCTTGGGCCACGAGAAATCGATTGTTGTTTAGAGGGTGTTTAGATGTTTTTGAATGGCAGAACTTTTGCCTCTGATCTTTTGTTTAAAACTTTTGCTATTCAAACTTTGTATCTAGGTGTTTAAATGCATGGCAAATGTTTAGCACTGTACCAAACAAGTTCAGTATGCAGCTCACGTCCCAAGGCGTTTTTGCCCAATTTTTGGTCTCTTGGGTAGCAAATAGCAAAAGTTTAGCAGCTCAGGTTTTACTCTTTTTTGCCCATACCGTTTAGATCCATTTCACCAAAAGATACGCTAAAAGTGCTAAAGTTTTAACAAAAGATGAGAAATAAACAGGGCCTTAGTTAGCGCCTGTGACCATTCTCTCTTTTTTTTCTCCTCCACGTCATATTTTAGCACAGTCAGCCAGCGACGTCACCCACCGTTGAGGCTGGCCTAAAGAGTTGGCTCTTCTTTGACTCGTCTCCCTTTCTTCCAAGTTCCACCTAAGAAGAGAGAGTAGTGCGTGACGCACCTATACGTATTAGCGCATCGATCGATCTCTCACGTTTTGCGCACTCCTTTTTATTTAAACACATGAGTTCTCTCCGAAGTGGAACCGGATGCTAGCTGAAAGCAGGACAGGCCTGACGCTGTCCACCGTTCGTCTTTCGTGCCTTTCCCTCCGGGTAAGCCTGATTTCTTTATTAGATCATAGTTATTTAGCTTTAAATTACATTAATTTCTAATTCTAACCCTAAATCTTTATTATTTAGCCATCCTTGTCCTCCTGCATCCGCCACTTGTTGCCGCGTCCGTCGTTGGTTTGGTCCACTCAAATCGAGCTTCTCTAGAGCCTAATCCACCCAAATTGTCATTGTCCCCCCCTCCTTTCGTACTATATATGCGCTACGGAGTCCAAGTTGCAACTGACCACCGTATCCGGTTTTTGTGGTCAAACAAAGCCGATGGTACGTAAAGACAGATGCTCTTTGCTTTAGAATTCAGAAAGCTTGGGGATTGTGCAGAAAGGCGCCGCTGGAAAGAGAGGCCAATGCTTGGTGGCATCTTCGACCTTGGACATGGACGGTTGCGACTGCTTCGGCACTTGCTTTTCCACTGTAACCAAGACGAAAAGCCCATGAGCTTTCTCCCTACTAGTTGCTTTTTTCAGCGATCAGCATTGGATAAATTAATAATATAATAAATAAAACTGCTAATATTAGTTTTTTTAGACTGTTACTACTCTCTCCGTCCTGAAATATAAGATATCTAGTTTTGTCTAAGTCGAGCTATAGTAACTTTGACCAATTTTATAGAAAAGAATATTAACATCTACCTCATCAAACATGTATATGATAAAAATATATTCTATAATGTATCTAATTAAGCTAATTTGAAGTCCTACTTGGTTTTCTTCTTTTCTATAAATTTGGTTGAAGTTCCTATAATTTGACTTAGGACAAAACTGAATTCTTTATATTTTAGAACAGATGGAGTATTAGCTTTTGGCAGTCCATTATATTGATGCATCATTCCTACTGGTCTATTGGAGCAACAAAAGCGCCAGGTGCCCTTGCTTGAGTTTAATTAACCATTCTGATGGAAGTATAATTTATACTTAGTGAAATTATTTTACCAATTTTTTTGTTCACTAGTGAAAACACGATAGTTGACCAAAAATTTGAATCCAACAATATTGGACCAATAGAGTGTTTGGTCTGTGGAATAAGGCAGTCCATTCTCATCCCATGAAGAATACTGAGTGGTGGTATTCACAAATTTACTTGTAAAATGGACGTGTGCATTCAAAAAAAAAAGAAGTAATTAAATTGTATACGTGTTCAGACAAATGGATAAAGACCAATGGTTGTGTGGTCCTGCGTGGACTTCTTGGCGCTTGGTTGTCAGTCAAATTTCACTATAGTAGGGCAAGTACATTGCTACATGTCAGTAATCTCATACTTTGTTTAATGTAGTGCCACGTATGATTTTTTGCTGATGTGAAGGAAAAAGATAGGGAGGAGAGAGAAAGAGATCGTTGTTTCGCGAAACAACCACTTTATGAGCTAAAATTTAGGACTATGAGACGGCTATTTTACCATTGTATGAGTTGTCGTCATCCTGCAACTCACAAACTTACTTTTATTCTATGCATAAATTAAGGAATCGTGATCTACTATGCGAGACAACTTAAAAGATAACCATCGTACATGTTGTCTTTTAAGTCGTCTTATAAAATTACATGACACTGCTTGAGACCGTCTACGAGACCACACCAGTACACTCGCCATTACAGTAACAGTGGATGAGTATCCGTAACACGTTGCAACGACCAGGATGCCCAGGCTGATGGCGGTGAAAGGAGGCAGTTGCGGAGGGATGGAAACGCGTTTGAATGAATTAATTTATTTTTCCTAAAAAGATTGTTTATCTTTGTGATGTTCAGCTATGGGCTGGACGTGTGGCTGAGAAGACTAGCAAGGTCGTGTGTGTGGTCCTGCGTGGACCTTATATAGCTAAGATATTAACTGGGTTTCAGCGCATGGTGGTGGGTCAAATTTCACCGCAAGCGCACACACGGCCCGGCCTGAGGTTAGGTCAAGGTCCACCGCCCACCGCTGCGGTTACGTTAGGGCTTGTTTAAGTACCAAAAAGTTTCCTAAAAAATGCTACAGCAACCATCACATCGAATCTTGTGATACGTGTATGGAGCATTAAATATAGACGGAAAAAAAAAACTAATTACACAGTTTGGTTGGAAATTGCGAGACAAACGTTTTGAGCCTAATTAGTCCATGATTAAACATTAATGATCAAATAAAAATAAAAGTGCTACGGTAAGCCAAATTAACAAAATTCGCCAACTAAACGCAGCCTTAGTTTTGCTTCAGTACACGCGTGCGTCACTTGTGCTGGCTGCTGCTGCGTTGCCATCTCGGGCAGGGTCAGGGGTCAACAACGTCGGTCGTTCGTTTCCGTACCAACAACGCCCATAGGCGGCAGGCGCGACAAAACAACAAGCCAGCCAAGCCACTGCAGTCGTCTGTCTCACTTCTTGCGCTGGCATGCCCGTCCGCTCCTGCATACAGTATATATATACCGGGACTTTGACTACTACTGGGTCTTTATATATATATATATATATATATATATATTTGATTGAAATTTATTGAAAATATTATTCGATTTGAATTGTTGTGAGAAAAAACAACATTAAATTTGAAAAAAAAAAAATAAGCCGAATATAAGGTAAGCGGATATAGTAAAATTTATAAAACTACTCTCTCGCCTACATTCATTTGAAATTTGGTTTGATTTATAAATATGTGAAAGTATTATTATTATTTGGTTTGGTGTGAGAGAAAAATATTGTTCGTTGACTGATAAGCCATGGCTTATAAGCCAAATACGACCAAGCGAACAGGCTGTCTGTCCAAAATTATCCGTCGCTTTTGGTTTTTGTACTGTGAGTCTAATTTGATTGGTAGAAAATATGTACAATATTTATATCTCCAAATAAATTTATTAAAAAAACTAGATTCAAAGATTTTTCCAACAATATCAATTATGTACCACAAATATTAATATTTTTTAATATATATTTTGTCAAGATTATTTCTCAGAAAACGAAAACGACAGATATTTTTGATCAAGCGAGGGAGTAGGAATGAAAAACATAAAAACACAGGAAACATCCGGGCCTGCAGGGCCAAGCTGTCGCTCACAAGCAAACCAGGCGACAAAACCATCGGGCCCCATCTGCCTGATTCATGGTAAATAACCTAGCCATAGCCACTTAGGCCTTGTGTAGATTACATCCAAATTCTAAGTTTTTTTACTCTCTTTCTATCACATCAATTTTTGGACATATGTATGAAGCATTAAATATAGGTAAAAAATAGCTAATTACACAGTTTGGTTGTAAATCACGAGATGGATCTTTTGAGCCTAGTTAGTTCATGATCGGATAAAGTTTATCAAATACAAACAAAACATGCTACATTATCTAGGTTGCAAAAATTTACAATCTAAACAGGCCTTAGCCAGTATCCACGCCCGCCCGTTGCGGTGGGACACCAAGAAGAAAATCAAGCAAGCAATTGGTACAGACAATATCTTAGAGAGGAAGGAGAACCCGGGGATGACTTGAGCACGGGTCTCTACATCGGGAAAAGCCTGGAAGGATCCATGGGTCGAGTGCATTCAAGCCATAGATGGGCAATCCGATGGCAACAAATGCCCAGTAACGTGAACTCATGAGAGAGTAGGAAATGGTATAACAAAGTATATATATATATGGTTGGACCAACTTAAATAGTTAATGTAAGTTTAGGAGGTAATATAGATATATGCCAAACTTGAGGAGAGCAATTTAGGTTTTTTTCCTAATAATAATAAAGTTTAATGTGGTCATGGTCTCGTGCCAGTTTGACACAGCGGCATTCATTCATCCACACTCGGAGGCGGCAGCTGCAGCTGCAGCCTGCAGGGCAGAGGCTATACATGTCGCCACCGCCCTTCTATAAATAAAAAGAGTGTCGTCATTTGCCGGTAATTCCCTCCCAACAACCAGAAGATCTCCAGGAAACCTCGTACTTCGCACTGTTATTATTTCTCATGCCTGTCGTCATCGTGTCACAGTGGTTTCTCAATTAAATAACGCGATTAAAGCCCTAATTGAATCTACGAGCTGAAACCACGAGGCCCCGCCGCCTCCGCCCCCTATATGAGACCACCCACGTAGCTGGCTGCGACTGCGAGCTCTCCTCCCTTGTACCTGCTCCTCCTCCGTCCACGCACCACCACCGGTAGGTACGCTCCACTGCCATGAGGTCGTCACGCGCCGTGCTCGTCTTCGCCTTGGCCACCGTGCCGCTGCTCCTCCTCGCGTCCGCCGCGCGCGCCGACGACGACGGCGGCGGGTGCGGTGCGGACGGCGGCGAGGCGGCGCAGGGCGACCGCGCGCGCGCCAAGGCGCTCAAGATCGCGGCGTTCTTCTCCATCCTGGTGTGCGGCGCGTTGGGGTGCTGCCTGCCCGTGCTGGGCCGCCGCGTACCGGCGCTGCGGGCCGACGGGGACGTCTTCTTCCTCGTCAAGGCGTTCGCGGCGGGGGTCATCCTCGCCACCGGGTTCATCCACATCCTCCCCGACGCGTTCGACAAGCTCACCTCCGAGTGCCTCTCCGGCGGGCCGTGGCAGGACTTTCCGTTCGCGGGCCTCGGCGCCATGGTCGGCGCCATCGGCACGCTCGTCGTCGACACCGTCGCCACGGGCTACTTCACCCGCGTCCACTTCAGGAACAGCGCCGGCGCCGAGGCGGCTGCCGTGAGCGTCGCCGCCGTCGGGGACGAGGAGAAGCAGCAGGCGGCCGTGGCGTCGGCGGCGCCGCACGTCGACGACGACCACGACGGGCACGTGCACATGCACACGCACGCGACGCACGGCCACGCACACGGCTCCTCGGCGCTCGTCGCCGCCGTCGGCGGCGCCGAGGGCGACAAGGAGGAGCACGCGCTGCGCCATCGGGTCATCGCGCAGGTAGTTAGTTACTTTTTCATCGGGTTAATCGTGAGTTGCGTAACAGCTGTATTTAACCATGCATTTATTTATCATCACCGACGTTAAAAAAAACAGCAAAATAAAACATACTAGCGTGATGAACACTAGAGGAGTTCATCAATACTGAAATAGATCAAAACTTAAAAGGAATGCATACCTTGTAGGAGTATATATGTAATTTCTTTGAAATATGGCCCACGGTACATTAGTGATTAATAATACGGCTAGAATTTAGTTTTGATATAAAAAATGGGTAAATATTAACTGCAAAGAAAACGCAACGACATGGACATATCCTCCCCTTCTGCCCCACCACCCTAAAGAATCAAAATTGAAACTTTTTTAACCAACAATGTCGATTGATTCTGTAGGTTCTTGAGCTTGGCATTGTGGTTCACTCAGTGATCATCGGCATCTCCCTTGGCGCGTCCGAAGACCCGAGCACCATCAAGCCTCTGGTGGTCGCCTTGAGCTTCCACCAAATGTTCGAGGGCATGGGTCTTGGCGGCTGCATCGTTCAGGTACTTAATCATCATCATATCATACTGCGTCTGCTTAGGTTTCGGGTTTTGTTTATTTGCGATGTGGTGTCAGACAACAACAACAACGCCGCCCACAGGCATCCGAAATCGGACGCCTAGAAGGCTTGCATGGCCAAATAACTTTTTCGGTCCATGATGCAAAAGAGCTACGTACCTCTCCCGCGCACCTTAGCGTCCATCTTCACATATACCCTACATTTGATTTTTTTTTTTCCAAATGACACTTGTGTTATTAATAAAACCTAAAAGGAGAAAGAAAATGTACATCTATATGCAACGGTCCGTACGGGTTAGTTTTTTTTATATGGTTGAGAAGAATATAGCACTTTATCACTTTGAAAATCTGTCTGATCTGCTGCCATGATTTGTGTTGGGTAAGAAAGGAGAGGTGATAGATGAATATATGGATTGCACTAAAGCTAAGCATGATTTGATATCCTTAACCGTGAGCCCCTGCCGCCGCTACCTTTTGTGAGAACAAAGTACCAAAGCACTGCACTTCGGGTGGTTCCGAGACATGCGGTGCACAAAGTTAGGAGCTCCACTTGCTTGGTACTCCGCACTTTATTACCTTAAAAAACTATGGTTTCTACTTTTTTTTCTTGCTTCAAGCATTTTAGAGAAGAACATATTATATTTGCACACGGAGATAGAAAATTCACCCTCAACAAAATTTGCCCCCACATGCATGCAACGACCAACGATAACGTACGTGGGGGCATATGCCCCTGAATATTTCTTCCTAAGTATGAACAATTAAACTGTTCGTTTCTACGCAGGCCAAGTTCAAACTGCGGTCAATTGTGACCATGGTGCTCTTCTTCTGCCTGACGACGCCGGTGGGCATCCTGGTCGGGATCGGGATCTCGTCGGTGTACAACGAGGACAGCCCGACGGCGCTGGTCGTGGAGGGGATCCTCAACTCGGTGGCGGCGGGGATCCTCATCTACATGGCGCTGGTGGACCTCCTGGCCGAGGACTTCATGAACCCCAAGGTGCAGAGCAGGGGGAAGCTGCAGCTCGGCATCAACGTCTCCATGCTCGTCGGCGCCGGCCTCATGTCCATGCTAGCCAAATGGGCTTAATAATTAGTCCCTTCGAATTTTGTTCCATCTTCAGAGAGGAGTTGTTTTAGACCTGCGACTACGCGTTGTGCTTGTGCCATCGTCGATCGGACGTGCGCCCCTACGTCGTGGAGCAACCAGCGCGCGACTGCTGGCCGGCGGCGCCCAGCCCGCTCTCTGTTCACGCACTAGGGCAGTCGTAGACAAGACATCAAAGTTTCGTACAGAGGTATCCAATAATTGCTCTCCTTTAATTGATGTATGCCAAGTTTATATATTTAATCAATATTTAATTTGCTTTTCACCCCCAATCTTTTTCATTAGAACACAGGGATTTAGGAATCCCTACTTTAGGAATCCCTAGAGCAGCGAATAATTTTTTGGAGTTGTATTAAAGGGCCCATCTTTCTAGGTTCGCTCCATGTCTCTGAACTGACCGGACCGGGCCTGCTCAGAAATTCAGAATTATTCAGTGTACCCAAGAGTCTAAACTGATATTTCGTTACATGATCAATGCTAATGTAATAATATGTTACCCCACTGATTCTATTACTCGGACGATGTAAATATCACTTTTTGTAGATAATGGGAAGCTAGATGTAAATATCACTTTATAAGTATCAAAGTCGCCATGGTGGCTTTCCCTCAAAAAGAGGGGGAAAAACAACCTTTGGAATCTGAATCTCGTCAAAGAATGTCGACACCCTAGGGGCAACCTGTTGTTGCTAGTAGAACACGGCGTTTGCCCGCGGTGCTTCATGGCTTCATGCACATGGCGCCCGACTTCTTTGACGACTTTGGCACGAAATGCCCAACTACGCCGAAGAAAACGGCAGTTTTGTTCTGAAAGCAGTGATCGAAGTGGAATAACGACTTTCAGGTACATATATGCTGTACTATCTCAGTATCTGTATGACTGTATGTATGAGCTGCTATCGCTCTGTTCGCTTGGCTTATAAGCTATATTTTTTCAGTCAACGAACAATATTTTTTTCTCATAACAAATCAATCAACAGTATATTCCCTTGACTTTGACGGAGGACTTGTGACTTTTAACGGGCAACCAAATTCGTCACCATCACCGTAGTCCACAGATGCCGGCGCCGGCAGTGGCACCGAAATGCCTCTTGCTCAGCTGGTGAAGTCATCGCCATTACCACAGTACAATTCCATTATCTACCAAATTCATTATAGCCTCCAATATTTTCGTGCGTGTTGTGCATGTGTGTTAATTGCCTCGTTGCAACCGCAACTAAAACTGAAAGGGAGGGAACGAGACCGTATGTATTACACAGCGGAATTTCTTTTACGTGATAGGTCGCGCTTCGAGCGCGCAACACCCGTGCCCACGCCGGAGAGAAAGAAGAACATGGCGGACGCGACACGGCGGTGGAGGCAGCGGCAGGGCGGGGCGGGGCGGTGGGGATGCCACCTGCCGGGGAGGAGGAAGAAGGCGATTGGGCGGGGCTGGCAGCGGGGGCGTCACGACGGAGGTCGTCGGCGAGCCCTAGGATTAGGGGAGGGCGGGGTCGAGGGTCGAGAGCGAGAGGCGGGTGGCGTGGCGACACGACGGGAGTCACCGCCCGCCAATGGTCGGGGCGGGGGTGAGGACGAGGATGGCAGAGGCGTTGCAACGGATGTTAGGAGCGGACGGGATCGAGAGACGGGGGCAAGAATTGGACCGCAGTGACATAGCGGGAGCCGCCAGCCACCACTGGTGGGGGAGGGGCAGGGGTGGAGGCAAGGTAAAGGTCAAAGACGATGACTGGAGAGAAAACAGGGACGAGGACGGCGGGGTGGGTTGCGGGTTCTTGAAACGCGCGACCGGTCGCGCCTTATGGTCGTGCATTACAGAGTGCCCAGCGGAGGTGAAAATTCAACGGGTGCTTGGTTTCACCCTGGCATTTAATTTCAGAGGACACGCAATGCACAAGCTGACGACGGTGAAAAAAAAAAAAAAAACAAGGCTGACAATGGGCCAGCCACGTCACTGCCTCGTAAATTAAGCTCTTCCCAACCGATCTCAGGGGACCGTAGGTTAGGTTACAACAAGAGCACTCTACGAAGTACAGTAGGACTCGTAATAGTAACAACTTCCTGTACAGGTCGTAGGATAGGATAGGAGTAATTTTGCTATACCAGGCGATCGATTCCACAAATGGTAGTGGAAGGTCAGCACACGAGGGCTGAGATGGCGCCGCCGCCGTCTTTACCACCGGAGCCGTGGCAGCAAATGGCGTCCTTGGGAGAACCAGACCGACTCCTCGCCGTGCTGCAGCAGGGCGACCTCGCGCTGATGACAATGCACACCTCGTCTTCGCCGTGCGCTGCCGCGCAGCACGCGGCCGCGCCGGGGGAACCACCGTGGCCGCCGCAGCATCCCCCGCCGGCGCCGTGGCCGTCCGCCTTCTCGTGACCGGCCGCGTCCTTCCGGTGCTCCACGGCCCGCCCCGGTCCCGGTATGGCGATCACCACGGCGTCCTCGGGCAGCGTGCTCTGCTTGTGGCAGCAACCGTGGCCGTCTTTGCCGTGCTTGTGATCGCCTCCTGCGGTCTGCGGCCTCGTCGCCACCGGCTTCATCGTCCCGCAGCACGCCTTGGGCGACTTGTGCTTGTGCACCGTCCCGCAGCACGCCTTGGATGCCCCGCCGCCGCACCTCCGCCGATCGCGGCCGGCGTCCCTCAGCAGCAGCATGCTGTGGAGCACGACGAGCAGGCAGGTCCCGACGTCGGCGAGCACGGCCACCCACAGCATGGGCCGCCACGCAACGGCGAGCGCCAGGACGGCGACTTTGGCGCCGATGGAGGAGGCCACGTTCACGGCGATGATCCGCCGGGTGCGCCTCCCGAGCCGGACGGCCTTGGGCACCCTCAGCACGTCGCCGGACATGAGCGTGGCGTGGCTAGTCTCGATGGCCGCGGCCGACCCGGACAGGCCCATGGAGATGCCCACGTCCGCCGTGGCGAGCGCCGGCGCGTCGTTCATGCCGTCGCCGACCATCAGCGTCGCCCCGTGCCTCGTCTGCAGCTCTCGGATCAGCCGGACCTTGTCCTCCGGGAGGAGCCCCGCGTGGAGCTCCTCCAGGACGCCCCCGAGCTGCTCCTGCGCGTGCTTGGCCGCTCCGGCGCTGTCCCCGGTGAGCATCACCGACTTGATCCCCATTGATCTCAGCTGCAGGATCGCCTCGGCCGCCCCGGTTCTGCAGGTGTCGGAGAGCGAGAACTTCCCCACGAGGTGGCCGTCGCAGATCACGAGACCGATGGACACACCTTTCAGACCATCTCCTTCTTGGTGGTGATGGGCAGCTTATATGTGATGAAGTTTCGTCGCCATGTCAGAGCTCAGAAGTCGTTAGTTGTTGTTCAAGAATGCGTGAACAAAGCTCAAGAATTTGTTTGCTTACCATGTTGATGGCACGAGGATCTTGCCATGATCCTTTCGTTTCCAATGTAGATTTGTCTCCCATTGATCTCCCCATAGATGCCCTCGCCATGGTAGATGCAGGTTTCAGTGACGTCCTCCGGCTTCGGCTGTATAGATTTGGACTGGGCATAGTCGACAAGTGCAGCAGCCATCGGATGGCTTGATTTGCTCTCAATGCTAGATACCCTGCAAGAAGAGCAAAATCCCCCAGGACCAGGAGCTTCATTATCAGCAGTTTAATCTACTGAAACAGTACACTAACAGCAGTTTAATCTACTTAGAGCTGTGTGCTAGTATATACCAGTAGAGTAGCTGGCTCATTTGGACCTTGTCCCCAACCACTTGGAACTCCTTGATGCTGAACTCTCCTCTGGTGATGGTTCCAGTCTTGTCGAACGCGGCGACCCTGACCTCGCCCAGCGACTCAAGCACGTTGCCGCCCTTGATGAGGAGCCCCATCCGCGCCGCCCGCAGGAGCGCGCAGAAGGTGGCGACGGGCGTGGACAGCACCAGCGCGCATGGGCACGCGCTCACCAGCAGCACCAGGGACAGCCGGAACCAGTGCTCCAGGTCGCGGGCTCCCAGCAGCGCCGGCACGACGACCACCGCCGCCGCGAGGACCACCACGGCTGCACACGCAAAAAGAACAGCAACACTGCTTCTGCTGAACTGCTATGCCAATTCTACGCTAGTACGCCTTTTTGAGACGGCGGTCGTTTCTGGAGGTGGTGACCGTGTGCCGCGTACCAGGGGTGTAGTGCTTGGCGCACGAGTCGATGAGCCGCTGCGTCCTCGACCGGCTGTTCTGCGCCTCCTCCACCAGCCTCTCCATCTTCGCCACCGTCGAGTTCTCCGCCAGCGCCATCGTCCTCACGGAGATGTAACCTGCGACATCACCTCATGGACATTGTTGTTGAAGCTCGAAAAAAACAGAGCGAAGGCTGTTGTTATCGTTACCATCTAGGTTGATGGTGCCGGCCCAGACCTCGGACTGCGGCTGCTTGGGCACGGGGAAGGACTCGCCGGTGAGGCTGCTCTCGTCGACCTCGCTATGCCCGTCGACGACCACGCCGTCGACGGGGACGACGTCCCCGGCCCGGACCGCGACGACCGTGCCGACCGCGACGTCGCCCATGCCGACGACCTGCCCGGTCTCGGCGAGCACGACGGTCTTGGGCACCGTGGACATGAGGGACATCATCCCGGCGCTGGCCTTGGTGCACGCCAGCGTCTCCAGCCACTCGGCGACGGTGAAGAGGAACACGATGGCGCCCGCCTCCGTGTAGCTCCCGAGCGCCACGGCGCCCGCCACCGCGATGAGCATCAGGATGTTGATGTCCAGGGTCAGCTTGCCCGCCGCCGCGAACGCCCGCAGCAGCATGGGCTGGGATCCCACGCACGCCGCCGCCACCGCCAGCCACCGCAGCGGAGGGAGCAGCGGCGCGAACAGCGACGCCGCGAGCAGGACGCCGCACGCGATGATGAACGGGCTGGGCCATCGCCCCGCGGCCCCGGCGCTGCTGCCGTAGGCTCGAACGGAGGCCTCGAGGCCCGCCTTGTTCAGAACCTTCACTGATCCGGAAAATGTGCAATGGGAGATTCACGAATTCGCGCGTGAACGGGGAGAGACGACAATGTAGGCAGGCGATCGAAGGAGACGAGGGACTTTTTTGGGTTACCAATGTGGAACTGGGAGACGGCGGCGGTGTCGTGGTCGACGATGACGGTCCGGGAGGGGACGACGACGGTGACCGCCCTCACGCCGTGGATGGGCGACAGGAGACGCTCGACGAGCGCCACCTCGGCGGTGCAGCAGATGCCCAGGACATCCAGGTACGTCTTCTCCCACTTGCCGGCCGCCTTCCCGCAGGACACGCCGTCGTGGTGGTGACCGCCATCGTGGTGGTGGTGACCGCCGCCCTTGGCCGCTGCCTCCACGGCCGGTCCCGGCATCTCGGAGGGCCACAGGGGCAAGGACCAAGGAGGCGAGCGGAAACGCTAAACGACGTGCACCCGCGGGGCCAGCCAAAAATTTAGCCACCGGCTGCTCCTTCATCTGCGTGTCCGGGTCCCGAGTTTTCAGGTCTCCCCCTTCAATTCCTATTTTGGGCGCTGCGCTTCTCTGGAGACCTGACTGATTTCCTTGTCTTCCGATGCTGCCTCTCTTTGCTCATCATCAATCAAATTTATATGCCAACGGATGCTACACCGGCTGGCCAAGCACTCTGGGTGACACGCTAGCGGCCTGGGTTCCATCTTCCACGGGACAAATTGCAATACCGGTTCAGGGGTTTTCTCAAACTAGTGATGAGTCATCTATCATAATGCGAATGTTCGGGGGCGTATACGAGCAACCACAATGTTGTTGAAAAGCAGTCCATAGGCATTAGAATAATCCCTACCAATTACCTGAAACATTGTAAGACTAATCCATAGCAAAAGGTACCTATAAACTTATGGACTATCCATAGAGAATAAAAACTATTATTTTCTTGCTCATTCCTCTCTCTCCCCCTTGTGTTGGCTGGTGGATTGAAGATGGAGATTTTTTTATCTTTCTTGTGACCCATCTTACAGACTACTTAGTCCATATGTATTGTGTGAAGATAATAATAGCTATGGACTGATCAGATAGGTCCCATGTAAGTAGTCCATATACATTGTGGTTGATCTACTATCCCCTGAAGTCCGAGTTTTTTTTTCAATCAAATTATATGAAATCTGGTTTATTTAACCAACAACAATTCAAAGAAATCCAGCTCCAAAGGTTGACATTACTCACATAATAATCAGATCAACGGCTCCACCGCTGCAACGCTGCAGTCCGCCGAGTCAAGCGGTTGGAGTCAGAAGACCAAGGGGCAGGTCGCGGTCTTGCGGACGTCGCTTCGACTTGGTCAGGTTCGATTGGCAGCACAAGCAAACAGGCTTTGGGCCAAACTACCAAGGGGTACTAGACTTTGGGCCAAGGGCCATTTTCATTGGTCAGTCTTGGTCTTTGGTTTGAAATTTGGTTGGTCTTGAGTTTTTTGTGAGAGGAAAACATTGTAGTTTAGTTATTTTGGTTTGACCAAACCAACAAAGCATTAACATGCTTGCAAATCTGAATTGTGGTGGTCCATGGCCCACAACAGGGACCACCCTATAGCTCCGCCCCTGGATCAACTATCAACTTATCAAGCGGCCCGTGCAAGCTACTCTCTCCGTCTTACCATTTTGAATAAGAACACGCTTAACTTGACTATGGTTTTTCTACTATAACGTATAAAAATCAATTAATATATATAAATATATATAATTTTATAAGTTACCTAATATCTTCAAATTAAATATCTTAGATGTTCACAAATCAAACATTGACACATTGTTTTTGAAAAATTTGCTACAATTTGCATGCTTAGCTAAAATTTGCTTAACTTAAAAAACGACTCCTATGTACAAAAAAACCTTATAAGTAGTAGAAACTATTTAACCTAAGAATCATATATGTTCAGCATTCACCCTTAGCTTTTTTGAGCCGTGAAAAAAAAACTAATTTGAGCTATGTGTTATAAAAAAGTTGTAAAATATTGTTTGGTTGAAACAGCTATGAAACATACCCATTCTCTCTGTCCTCCCTTGAAACAATTGTAAAATATCTCCCTATTTCCATCCACTCAAAAAGCAGAAAGTTGGGTTTAGAAACATGCCCAACGAGACAACTAGGATAATGGCTCCATCATACCACGTAGGAACAAATCTGACTCGAAGATAAGAGAAGGGTGGTAGTAGTAGCGGCAGACTTGAGCATTTTGCGGGCCGGGCCAGGTTCAGCACGGGCCAAAAAAAGCTCGACTATTTTGGGCCTAAACAATCCCACCCATGACTGCCCCATTGAGCGAGTCGGGCCTAGTTTTGGGCTGGGCTCGAGCGGGGCCCGGGTCTAGACGGGTTATCCGTGCTGTTTACAGTGTAAAATAACTAAAATAAATATTTTGGGTCAGGCTCAGGTTGAGAATTTTTTTTGGACAACAAGATATGTGCCTAGGTCCTGTCCACTAAGGTTCTGGATGATGGTCCAAAATCCAGCGGGCTTGGTCGAGCCCACGGGCCAGGACGGGCTCAATTTGCTCAGGTCTACCTACTGAAATATCCATATTGCTTCTGGAGAGAGAGAGAGAGAGAGAGAGAGAGAGTAATAAGAGAGGAAAAAGGTAAAAGCCCGTTGCATGCTTACTCTTTCTACTCATCAGTATTACTACCTCATTAGGGCAGCCCCCATGCAGGTAGCTAATGCTAGTGGCCTCAAGCAAAAGTTAGCTACCATGTAAATGGAAAAATAGTTGAAGATGTCTTCTCTACATCGTCGGCTAGTCACTTTATCTGTTGCTGATATCACCATTTCTCTCTATGTAGGCATCTGCTGGCTCGCCTGCCTTTGCTTTCTCACATTCAGTCTTAGCTTTTCTTCCAAAATAAGCAATGGCTTGCACCATTTGTCAGTTGAAGCATTTGCATCCTCTGCAAGATGTTCTGACATGCAGCGGAGCCGCTATTCGAGATGACATGGATGATTTGCGTAGGGACTACAAGCCACAGTGGCACGTTGGAGAAGGCCTTAGTGGTTTGGGAATACATGTTATCTTCTCTCTCCTAAGATCACTACTGATGTATACTTGTGTTGGGCATGGCCTAAGGGCCTCCCTAACACTCCACCATGGCTGGGAGTCTCAACCTCCACATAAGCATGCATTGTCCAAGTCAGATAGATTTGTGGTCCCATATCTTGTCATCGTAGTTTGCGCATTGGGGAAAGCAACATCTCACCAAATAAAGTTGAGCTAGTTGAGAGGGAGGCACGAAAAAGGAAGAGACAAAAAGCCAAATAAACTTTTCTTGCATCACCAGTAGTCTATGTTGTGGGATTATTAACCCTGTTGCATGTTCTCTTGTCTATGTGGATAGTAGTTCTGAGTTGAGACCAACAATCTTATTAGCTTGCGTTGATTGTGCTCTAAAGGTGCTACGAAAAGTAGTGGCTTCTAGAAAAACAACTTTATGTTCTATCAATTTGGTTGACGTTTTACTTTTTAGCAGCAGAAGCACTTTTCATAACCTGGACCACTACCTAAATACCTTGTTTTAGTAGTACTCTAGTACCAAAACTTTCTTCATGAATGAATACAAGATAAAATTTCCTAGGGGGGAAAAAGGAGACAAAAGCAGCTCCAAAAAGCTAAGGATTTGATTACTCCTCGAATCCGAGTATACATTTGAGGACAAATCCAATGGAGCACCGTACAAAATTAACTAACTACACAAATGGATCCACCGGTTAATTAAGTTTGGCAGGCGTCGCATGAACAGTCAGTATTTCACATTTTCACTATCACTTCAGAGTAGAGATTGTGTCCCGCACTTCGCTTGAGAGTATCTTATTGCTCTTATCTTCCACTAGAACAACACCTTGCATTGCATCCTTGCCCTGCCTTCTTAGGAGAATCACGGGCAGCTCTCCACCTTGCATTGCATCCTTGCATTGCATTGCTGCAGCAGCTTGTCCTTGCGCTCACGCGGCTGTCTCCTTTACCTTTGCCGGCACAGCATCCTCGTGGCGCGCAGTCCACGGTAGTCACCGTGGTGGGAGCAGCACAGGCTCCGCCGGTGGCGCTGCAACATCCAGTGGCGTCGCCTTTCGTCGCCGCCCGAGGATGCTCAGCGTCGGGTGGTGCCGGTATGTCGATCACCACTGCTGAGTGCTCCTGCTCAAACGGCTCGCTTGGCTTCTGACAGCAACGGCAGCCTGCTTTAGTCCCACCGCCTGGTCCCTGCTGAGCGCTCTCGGCCGCGGCGCCACCGTTCGATGCTCCGGCGAGCTGGGACCCCTCCCCCAGCTGCCCGTGCCCGGCTCCCGCAGCAGAAGCATGCTGTACAGCACGACGAGGAGGCACGTGCCGACGTCGGCCAGCACGGCCGCCCACAGCACGGGCCGCCACGCGACGGCCAGCGCGAGGACCGCGGCCTTGGCGCCCACGGAGACGACCACGTTGGCGGCGATGGTCGCGCGGGTGCGCCGCCCGAGCGCGACGGCCGTGGGCACCCTGAGCATGTCGCTGGACATGAGCGTGGCGTGGCTCGTCTCCATGGCGGCCGCGGACCCCGACAGGCCCATGGAGACGCCCACGTCCGCCGCGGCCAGCGCCGGGGCGTCGTTCATGCCGTCGCCCACCATCAGCGTCGGCCCCGCCCTCGCCTTCAGGCTGCCGACCAGCCCGACCTTGTCCGCCGGGAGGAGCTCCGGACGCCTCCGAGCTGCTGCTGCGCCCGCGTGGCCGCCGCTCTGCTGTCCCCTGTGAGCATCACCGACTTGATGCCCATTGATCTCAGCTCGCGGATCGCTTCTGCCGCGCCCGTCCTACAGTCGTCGGAGAGCGAAAACGCACCCACGAGATCGCCGTCGACGATCACATACCCGATCGACGCACCTCTGTGATCATCCATTTCCGGAGCTGTGTAACATGAGGACCTTGCCATGATCCTTCTGTTTCCAATGAAGATTTGTCTTCCATTTATCGCTCTGGAGATGCCCTCCCCAGGGTAGATACGGAATTCAGTCACGTTTTCCGGCCTGGGTTGGATGGATTTGGACTGGGAGTACTCAACAAGTGCGGTTGCCATTGGGTGGCTTGATTTGCTCTCAATGCTTGACACCCTGCAAGAAAGAAGTGATCATCCCATCCATGACCTGCTAAGCATCAAGTTCAGTTCAACAGAACTGACCCATGATCAAATCTTGGAATCGACAAACAAAAGGTCACATTTACTCAGTAGTAATAGATAGGTACAAATTGCAGTATGGGAAGGATAGTCTCTGTTCTTTCAGTTGAAACTCTCTAGTTCTAAAAACTCTGTTTATGATTTGTCAAAGACTAAATAGAAGGCCATCAGTCGTACCAGTAAAAAGAAGCTGGCTCATTTCAACCTTGTCCCCAACCACATGGAACCCATCGATGCTGAACTCCCCTTTGGTGATGGTCCCCGTCTTGTCGAACGCCGCGACCCTGATCTCGCCCAACGATTCAAGAACGTCCCCGCCCTTGATGAGAACCCCCATCCTCGTCGCCCTCAGCAGCGCGCAGAACGTGGCGACCGGCGTTGACAGCACCAGCGCGCATGGGCACGCGCTCACCAGCAGCACCAAGGCTAGCTGAAACCACGGTTTCAGGTCTTGTGCTCGCAACAGCAGCGGGACAAACGCCACGCTTGCTGCAAGAACAACCACAACTGCAAACAAGAAACAACAATTCATCCTGCTGAAAAACACTGCCATCAGATCATGAAGCTGACGGTGTATGCCGTTTGCGTCGCGTACCTGGGGTGTAGTACTTTGCGCATGAATCGACCAGCCGCTGCGTCTTGGACCGGCTGTTCTGCGCCGCCTCCACAAGCCTCTGCATCCTGGCCACTGTCGAGTTCTCGGCCAGAACTGTTGTCCTCGCGGCTATGTAACCTTCAACATGAACATGACAGTCTTGTTAGAATTTCTGATCACCACAAACCGCATGGACATTGTTTCAAATGTAACAAAAAAGAAAAAAAAAACCAGCAGCTTTTACCATCCAGGTTCATGGTGCCGGCCCAGACCTCCGACGACGGCAGTTTGGGCACGGGGAAGGACTCGCCGGTGAGGCTGCTCTCATCGACCTCGCTCTGCCCATCGACCACCACGCCGTCGACGGTGCCCACCCCGACGTCGCGCAAGCTGACGACCTCCCCTGTCCCGGCGAGCACGACCCTGGGCGGGACCATGGTCAGGAGCGACGACATCCCGGCGCTGGCCTTGGCGCACGCCAGCGTCTCCAGCCACTCCGCGGCGGTGAAGAGGAACACGATGGCGCCGGCCTCCGCGTAGTCCCCGAGCGCCGCGGCCCCGCCACGGCGACGAGCATGAGCGCGTTGATGTCCAGGGCGAGCGCCCGGAGCAGCATCGGCGGCGCGCCCGCGCAGGCCGCCGCCAGCGCAGAAGAGGGAGCAGCGGCGAGAGCAGGGACGCCAGGAGGAGCGCGCCGCTGGCGATGATGTATGTATTCTTGTTGCAACGCAACGCAGTGCACGCATCCCACGCTTTTGACTTTCATTTCAGACGTGCTTTTATGGATGGCCAAATGGACGGCATGGCCCTGACACGGGCTCATTTAGGCACTAATAGAGTAATAGGCCATGCCGTGCCACCCAATGTGCTCAGCCTAAGCCCAAGCATGGCACTAGCAAGGTTAGCCATGCCGTGCTGGCCCAGTGAGCCCAATGGGCCGTGCCAAGCCCATTCATCTCATTGCAGCCAAATAAAATCAATAATAAAATCATAAAATTCACAGATCAATCACAAGTCCAAATTCACGTAAGCACAAATCAATCACAAATTAGAACTAGCCACGAAGAAGCCATGGATTCCGCCATAGGGGCCTAGCTGTTGCGCCCCGTGGCACAACGTCGTCGTTGCTCAACTGCGTCGACACGATGGCGCACGCCCTGCTGAACCCACGTGAAGAGGATGGAGAAGGGAAGGAGTGTCTTTGTCTGGTAGAGTCGTGGAGTGGAGACCAAGAGGGGTATCAGGAAGAGAGGAACCGCCGAGAGGTGACGAGGAAGCGGTGGTTGGTGGGGTGAAGAGGAATCGAGGAGCCTGGAAGAGATCTGCAGCCTAGAAGAGGCCGAGAGGGAAGGAATCGGGCGGCACATGATCGGGGGAGGAGGAGCAATAGTTTGGTTCAGTAACTAGGGTCTTCTTAGATGGGCTCTTAACAACCCGACATGTAAAACGGGTCATGCTCGTGCTGGCACTATGCATGGGTTAGGCCGACACGTACCTATTTACAATAGTTTCGTGTCCTTAAAGGATCGTACCCTCGTGCCGCCCATTAAGCCCAGCCTGTTTTGACACCTACACGTGCTGTTCACCTTCACTTTGCTTACTTTCTTTGTTTCTCTACATTTTAAGCTAACCTTAATAAAATGAATAATGAACCATTGATCCGGTGGCAAAAAGTCAAAATCGAGGATGGTTTTTGAAAGCACGCCATTCTTGAGAGTTGTAGAAAGGTAAAATATTCGAACATTAAGCATTCTCACAAAGTCATATGTATGGATGCAGATGGTAGCAGTACAACTCTAAGAATATTGATATGTATCCATCCGTCGATTATTCTTTAGGCCTATCGCGTTGAAACATACATGCACTTATCAATCGACCAACCTAGAGGTGAAAGGACATGGAAAAAAAATAAATGGTAGAATATGGTTCTCAATACAAATGTATAAGAGAGAGAAAGTATAAAAGTGGGTAAGGTGATTTAAAAATGGTCTAGAATTCTTGATGCAAAATTGTCTCTATATTTTAAGAGCGAGATTTAGATGGCTGAAGAGAGATGAATAGTCTATTAAAATTTCGCTACAAATACATACCACTAGAGCGAAGTGGTTAGATTAAAACACAACTCTAATAGCCACTATTTTGCCTAGCTTCATACCTTCTGAACAATTCTAGCTAGTAGCAAACTACCACTACTACTAGTTCACTCAAACAAGCAAAGAGCCTTGCACTACACTAGTGGAGCTAAACTAGTGAAGCGCAACTAAAGTAGCTACTTTTACCGACTAAAACTACTACTAGGACTAGAGAGGTGCACTAACATGCAACTACCACATAAGCAAGTATATGAAAGCTAACCACAAGCGTGAGTTACCAAACTAAACAAGGCAACCTGCGTCCTTGTTGAGACAAGTATTAGGATTCGCACACTAACAAGCCTCTCAATTTGGATACCACAAAAATCCAATCAACAAAGAGCACTCTAACTAGTCTCGAGCATTCCACTAGAGTTGCTCTTCGTGATTCTCTCGCAAGTAAGACCCATCAAAATCAACTCAATTGGAGCCACCAAATAATCACCGACACGGTGCTCACATTCCTCGTTGATCCAAGTCGTCTAGTTGACAACAACCACCAAAAGTACAAGAAACACATAACTCAACGATGAATTAGTGCTACTAGATACAAACTTTCTAAGCAAATGAAAGAAAATTTTAAGTGCCATGAAAACAAATCTCTAAAAAAAATAGCTGGAACACTCGAGGGACAAAAATGTCTGTCTACAATGAATCTTAACACCGTTAAGTGCCTCGGCTCACAGTAGTGTCACTTTTGGAATTTTTTTTGAAGAGCCCCAGATATTAAGGAAGATTTAGCGTTGGGTCGCTAAATTTTGAAGATCAAAATTTTTTCGAATAAGGAATTTTCTCTTAAATATGACCCTAATAAAGTACTAAGATAAATGTCCCCGTCGGCGGCGCGGCGGTCATTCACCGCAACTGCTTGATGGACTGCTGGATGCGTGTTTACTCTTTACTTCAACCCCACCACGGCACGGCGCACCTCCCGAGACTTCGTCCGCCAGCCCAGCCGCCACACCCGCAAGGCAGGCAGCAGGCTGGAATCCAATCTCGCTACGCTACGTGAAGCTCGCCTCGCCCACTCACACTCCACCGCCGCCGGCGCTGGGGATGGCGGGGGCCAAGGCGGCTGCGGGCGGCTCGGCGGCGCCGCTGCTGCCGGCGCAGGCGGGGGAAGCGAGCTCAGGAGGCGCGGGCGGAGGGGCCACGTCAGCGCAGACGCTGGGGAACGTGGTGGTCTCCATCGTGGGCACCGGCGTGCTTGGCCTCCCCTACGCCTTCCGCGCCGCCGGCTGGGTCGCGGGCTCCCTCGGCGTCGCCGCCGCCGGCTCCGCCACGCTCTACTGCATGTTGCTACTCGTCAGTACGCTCGCCCGCACTTCCCTCCCTCATCCTCACCGTTCGTTCTGCTGCGTGCTCTTTTACTCGGCCTGGCGTGCTCTTGGCCAACTTTGCGCTACACAGCCTGCAGTGCAGGTGCTGCTGTGATGGTCCCTTCCAGATCCAGTTGTCATCCGAATGTCTCGTAAAAATAGAAATCTTCCAGATTTGTAAAGGCCGAGACAGCAGTCGTACCCTGACCCTCCGAGCCCCCCAAAAGGAGTATCTTTCTAGTTAATCAATCTTAACTTTGGTCAAATAAATAAAAAATGTGTTAATTTATTATGCTAAAACTGTGATTCCGCCATGCTGCCATTTGAAACAAGCTCACCTAAAACTAAAAGTGCTCACATGTACTAAAGGTTTTGCCAAAATATTAGCCAATGTACCAAACTTGACTTTGCAATTGACCAGCTCTTGGCTCCATTTTAAATGCAAAATCCACAGGTTTCATTTTGACTAAAAGGAAAATTCTTTTCAAGATAGCGAAATATAATAGTTCTTCTTATATTGCCTGTTGAGATTGTGCAAGATTTTGAGTGGATTTAGTGTAAGAAATCTGTTGATGCTGCTTCACATTTGATGGCAATATTATGATTGTAACTTACATAAATGATAAATCAAATAAGATTTGGAATTGCTATGCCTTGTCTTTGCTTGTCGATTATGAACAGAATAACTTTAATTGCTTTCTGTTCAGTTTACTCAGTGTCATTTTGATTTTGAAGGTGGACTGCAGGGATAAACTCGAAGAGGAGGAAACTGAAGAGTGCTGTCATGGTCACTATACATATGGGGATTTGGGTGGCAGGTGCTTCGGGACTATAGGTCGATGCTTGACAGAAATCCTCATCCTTGTTTCGCAGGCTGGTGGTTCCGTAGCATACCTAATATTCATTGGCCAAAATCTTCATTCCACATTCAGCCAGTTGATGTCACCAGCTGGCTTCATCTTTGCCATCCTCCTGCCTCTGCAGATAGCACTCTCCTTCATCCATTCACTGTCTTCCCTTTCTCCATTCAGTATATTTGCAGATGTGTGCAATGTCCTTGCCATGGCAATTGTTATCAAAGAGGATCTTCAGCTCTTTGACCATCCCTTTTCAAATAGAAGTGCTTTTAATGGACTTTGGGCAGTACCATTCACCTTTGGTGTTGCAGTGTTCTGTTTCGAAGGATTCAGCATGACCCTTGCACTAGAAGCGTCAATGGCAGAGCGGAGAAAGTTCCGCTGGGTACTTTCTCAAGCAGTTGCCGCCATTATAACCGTGTATGTCTGTTTTGGAGTGTGTGGGTACTTGGCCTATGGTGAGGCTACCAAAGACATCATAACACTTAATCTTCCAAACAATTGGTCGTCTGCTGCAGTTAAGGTGAGTGCAGTTCTCTTAATTTGCTTGTTGCCATTGCTGACTCAAACATGATGTGGATTCTCTGAGAAAGCCTTTGTGAATCAATCACCTTGCACCTTTATTTCCTTTTGTGATTGGAAAATGCAACCTAATAATAATGTGATATTTGGAGATATAGGCTTTGTTTAGTCCCCCCTAAAGTTTACTCCCTATCTCATCGAATGTTTAGACACATGCATGGAGTATTAAATATAGAATAAAATAATAACTAATTGCACAGTCTACGACTAATTTGCGAGATGAATCTTTTAAGTCTAATTAGTTCATGATTTGACAATGTGGTGCTACAGTAACACATGTGCTAATGACGGATTAATTAGGCTTAATAAATTCGTCTCGCGGAATACTGACGGATTCTGTAATTTGTTTTTTTATTAGTATCCGAACACCCCATGCGACATCCCCATGTGACACTCGATGTGACACCCCAAAACTTTACACCCTGGATTTAAACAAGTCCATAATATCTAGCCTTAAGTTACTACCAATTATGCACTTGAGATATCCTTTTTCTTAAAAATAAAGAAGTGAGTTATTTTATCGTCACACTGGACACAGACAAAGATGCACAGATCTATAGTACTTTGTTCTGTCTGAAATCCCATGACACATTATTGGCTTGTGTGTTGGAGTAGCAATCATATTCGTAGTCATAGTGCAGCCCATGCATGAGATTTTTTTTTTTCATATGGGAGTTTGATAACGATCGATTATTGAATCATGATATTCTCTTAACAATTTGAAGTCAAATTGACAGGTTGGCCTATGCATTGCACTGGCATTCACTTTCCCAGTCATGATGCACCCAATCCATGAGATCGTTGAGACAAGATTCAGATCCAACGGATGCTTTCAGAAGCTTTGCCGCAACGTTGGTGGCGCTGAGTGGATAGGCTTGCACTCAAGCCGCATTCTCGTGGTGGCGATCCTGACTGTGGTGGCATCCCTCATCCCTGCCTTTGGGTCCTTCATCTCATTTGTCGGGAGCACCATGTGTGCGCTTCTCTCCTTCGTGCTGCCTGCTCTCTTCCATCTCAGCATCGTAGGCTCGTCAATACCGTTGTGGAGGCGGGTGCTGGACTACGGCATCCTTCTCTTTGGTCTGGCTTTTGCTGGATATGGTCTTGTCACTGCTCTCTCCCCGCACTGAACAATGGCCCAATCAGTCAAAGAGTGCAGATCAGGAATCAGGATATCTTGGGATGGCAGGAATCACAATGGAGATGACTGGAGTACCATAGCAGATAGCACGGCTTGGACTAGTGCGTGACTGAACCGATCCGCTTCAACCCCCATATAGCAGCAGTCAACTATGGAAGCTATACCCATGGTGATTTTCAGAAATGAAGTTAGAGAGAATTATGTATTTGACATTGAAACAAGTCAGTCTTTCGTATTTGGCATTTAAATTTTGAACTTTCTTATTTGACACCAAGTTAAAATTTCCTTCCCTGTATGGCACTATCGTCTATTTCATCCACTCATCTGTTAGTTGACTATTTGTACCGTGTCAGTTTTTTCAAAGTGTGACCAAAATACCCTCTGTTACTCACGCACGCGCTCACTCGTCCCGGCGCCGCTGCGTGCTCGCTCCTTTGGCCCCGCTGCATCACGCACCTCCGCTGCTGCTGTGGCGCGCTCGCCCACAACAGCCGTCTCCTGCTCGCCTGCCGTCCCCACTATGGTCGCTGCCCACTTGCCGTCCCTACCGTGCTCGACGCCGTCCCCACTCGCTGTCCCCACCACGCTCGACGGCCGCCGTCCCCACGGCAGCCCCACCGCCACACGCGCGCGGCCCCCGCTGCCCCACGCCCACAGCCGGCATCGAGGAGAGTTCCAGGCCTCGAGACCGGGAGCCCTCCATGCCTTCGATTCGGCGGCCAGGCGACCCGGCACCTCGATGCCTTGATTTGATCTGGTGGGGGCGGCCTGGATCCAAAGAGGCAGTGACCTCCCACACCTCCTCTGATCTGCAAGTGGCAATGAGTTCGCATGCTGCATCAGTGGCCAATCAGTTCAGGCTGAACAACGTTGCGCTATTCTCATCACCCTGATTTCCTCACCACTTTAGCAGCACATCACTGATCTACATTATGGAAAGGTAAGAGCCATATTACGTGTGTAATTAATTTCTGCCAGTCCTTATTTTTCAACTTTTATTAAATTCATGATACATCCGTGGAGGCCTCTGTTCCAAGCTTAATTGTATAATTTTATGAATTCAATTGGATCTTCTAGACTTCAGTGGCAGCTTACTTGTTTTACCTTTGCAGTCAGTACTTGCTATAATTTTTTTAGACAATGAATAGTATTTGCCAGGCCATACGAAAATCACAGTTAATTGCTCATATGTGATCTTTGCAACATTGCTACATATTTTAAGCTATTTTGGCATATTTACTTCTTGGTTACTGTACATTATTCAGTTAGCCCATGCAAATAAAACTGAATGCGCATTATTTAATTAGCCCATGCAAGTTAAGACTGAATGCATATAAAACACTTGCTCTGTTAGACTTTTTGTTGCTCCATTCAGAGTTTGCCTTTCCGTTATTTATGTTAGTTCATAGAATTGAGAGTTTGCCGATGCCAACAAGCATAAGTACCATTTACAAAAAAACAAAGTAAACAAGAACTATTTGGTGGAGCTTCACCTTGCAAAACACTACTACACAAGCAGGATAGAGATATTATAGGTAAACATGAACCATTGAGGCTATTGATTGTTGATACTTGATCTCCTGGAATCATTCACAGAAATGGAAGCGAATATCAGTTTACCTATAAAATAGAAAGCAAGCCAAATATGTGGCTTAGACGCTATTTCATTATATATTTTTGACTTTATTAGAATAAGCTCACTTCTCAAGTGCACTATATATATTCGAGAGCGGCGCAGCACCCAACTTCAGGTCGTTGTGAGCACCTTTCTCACTCTATCATCTCCTTCTCTCCTCTGTCCATTTCCCTCATTGTCTCCCTCTCCGAGATCTATATCCTCCATGAAGCAGCAAATGAAGTTGGGGTGAAGGCGACGAAGCTATGCGTGGTTGGTGGCGAGCCATGAAGGATTTAGTATTGGGTAGATCACAGCCGGTAAGACAATCTCCTGCACTCTCCTCTGTCTAGGCTGTGACAGTAAGGATTTTTTTTTTCTTTTTGTCAGTAGGATTAAATTCTAGTTCTATTCTAACAAGGATGGTGGCACTGTCAAAAAGCTGGCAGTGGTGATTCAAGTCAGCCAACGTCAGGCAAGTGCTACTCCCTTCCTCGATCAATTGCTGTTCAAATTAAATTTATTGATCTACAAGTTGAATTTACAAGTACTATATGTGTGGATTGAACAGAGATAGCTTATCAGCTTGTCTTGTTGAATCATTATCTTTGTTGTCTGCTCTGAGCCTGTCATCAAAACACTGAAAAGTCTGAGAAACAATAAACTCAAGTAGTGAAGTCTTGAATGGTGAAAATAAAACACAAACAGCTAAGGGGTAAGCATCGGACGTTTCATTTTTGGAGGCAAACTGAATGTGATTTATATTCGTGAAACTGTTATTCTCACTCCCTTATAAGTTGTACATTGGAACTTGTACTTCATTAGACTATTCATTCTTTCATTTTTTTTTCAGGAACTTGTGGATGCTGCTACCAGCTTGCAAAGTCCCTAATAGGCGGTAGATAGACCTAATACTCGTCAGACCCACATGTACAAATTTCGCTTATAAATGCTGATAGCGCCTAATTTTTTTTTATTTACTTATTTGCAGACTTTGATTATCAAAATCCCATGTTTTAGTTCACAATATATTTGTGATATTTATAATTTTTTTATTTGACAACTTGTCCATCTATTATTTTCCTATTTGACATCATGTATTTCTGCTACAGATAAGGGCATTTATGTCATTTTACCAGCCACTTGACGCCGTTACTAGCATAAATGGACGACAGTGCTATCTAGGGAAGGAAATTTCAACTTGGTGCCAAATAAGAAAGTTCAAATTTTTAGTGCCAAATGCAGAAGACAGATTTGTTTCAGTGCCAAATACATAATTCTCCCATGAAGTTAACGCTGTGTGTGCATGTTATACAAATCCACATATATTACATTGAAATTAGAGTCATATCTTAATCATATATGCATGTTACACATCTGCATGTCACATTTAGAAAAAAAACCAAATAAACCTTTGCTGACTACATGTTGGGATCAATCATGTATGATGTATGTCACATTTGAATAAAAAAAACACCACCAACTATTTACGTTTATCACGTAGGGATCGATGTATGTGTCTGTTTGTTGGATCTAATTACACGATATTCTGCTTATATTTTCTAAAAATAAAAAATTTAATGTAGTATTTATCATGCTTTTTTAGACCAATGGCTTCCTTATATTAGACCGTCTCCAACAACCATGACCCATAATACAAGACACATTCGTCCTTTGATAGCGCTACAGGCAAAAAGTTCAATACCTATTTTTAGTCTTCTCTAATAACAAGATCTAAAAGACAACTATTTCTGCAAATGGGTCTCCAGGAGAGAGGATACTCAGATTTGGGTTATGCCACTCCTGGCACCCAAAATGAGTCTTTCATATAGGTACTCTGTTAGAGGCTATAGATATTGTGTTGGAGACCAATTTTGAGTTTGGGTTTCGCAATGGGTCTCCTGTTGAAGACAGCCTTATAAGCATATAAAGGATGCATGTATTTATCATATTAGTTTATAGAAGGTAATATGTGATAATATCTCTTAGATCTAGCTAATTAAATGAACGGTGCACCGCCACTCGTGTGACTACTTGAAATATTTTCCCAGTTATTTAATTATTAAATGTTTTCTATTTTTTTTAAAAAATTAAGGGTTTAGATTCATTTGAGGTGCTACCTCCTTGTTACTAGTAACTAGGGGTCGTTTAAATCTAGGGGCTAAAGTTTAGGGGTGTCACATCAAGTGTACAGATAGTAATAAAAAAATAAATTACAGAAGTTCTTAGTAATCCGCGAGACGAATTTATTAAGCCTAATTAATCCGTCATTAGCACATGGTTACTGTAGCACCACATTGTCAAATCATGGACTAATTAGGCTTAAAAAATTCGTCTCGTAAATTAGTCTCGATCTGTGCATTTAGTTTCGTAATTAGTCTATATTTAATACTCCATGCATAAGTTCAAATATTCGACGTGGCAGGACTAAACCTAAATATATCATAGAAAGGCCGAGAGATGTTCATACGTGAGTTCATGAGTATCCCTACCCTGGCTTCTTTTCGAAGCGTATTGCAAGAAGTGTATGCTGGGATCAGAGTCGTCATTGTGAGGGGCCGTTTTAGTCCTGTAGCGATGCGTTTTATGTGCACATGGACAAACAGAGTGTGCCACTCCAATCATTCCCCAAACGCGTAATTAGGGCTGGTAGGCATAAATGCTTATCCGTCCGTTGCGGCATCACAATTCACAACTGAAACCGACGGCTGAGCCTCGTCCATACTGCCTGGGAAGAAGACTCTGCGTTGCTACAGAAAAGACTCGTCCAGTTTGATGACGCAAAGATCAGTCACACATTCAAAGGCCCAACACCTGAATCATTTTTTTTTTTGAGGAACGCCTGAATCATATGATGATCGCTCGGACGTCTCGAGGACTGAGTTGCAGCGAGGGCTGCCAAACCGCCTAGCCGGGTTCCACAGAATTGCCACGAAGACCTACAAACGCCACACGGAGACCCATCAGGGAGATGCACCACAAACTCAATCAAAAAACTTGTAAAACAGGCCACATAAAGCTCCACAAACTCAGATATGGGGTCACAAGAGGTACGATTTAGAAAAGGCACAACAGTAGATTAATTGTGTTTTTTATCCATCGGATACCTCGACCACTCACCATAAGCCTCTCATATGTGTGTACACGCGAGCGCGCACACACAACTTCTTGGAGTAGTAATTTCCTTATCTGAACTCTAAATTATATGTTCTATGCATGTTTTTTTATCGTCTCGATGAGATGAACACAATAGTGAATTTCATTATGTGTTTTGACAAACTTACCTAACTCGCCCTAGCCAAGGCCAACTTTGAAACCTAGCCTAGCCGGTTTTCCTAGAAATCCCGGGATCAACCTCCTTTGACCAGTTTTGA